ATAGCTTCATTTCTTGCTAACCAAATACTCCATATTGTAGCCAGCCAAATCACCGTCCATTTGTAATGATTTTTGGCAACACAACTAGGAAGGCCTAAGAACTGCTCAAAATGAGATATGAAATTATTTTGATGAGTAGTAAAGAGGCCACACCATTCCAAACACAACATCCAAACTTGGTATGCAAAGGAACACTTAAAAAATATATGGCAAGAGGTATCAAGACCTTGATTACACCGCACACATCCAAAATTTGAAGACAATAACAAATTCCTCCACAAGATTAACTTTGGTTGGGATTCTGTCAAGCATCACCTTCCAAGCAAAACAAGAAACCTTGGAAGGGACAAGCCTACACCATATGAACTTATGAAGAGAGATTTCTGCAAAAATAGAGGCATTAACAATTACATAGTAAGTTGACTTGACTGAATAAAGTCCTCTTGGATCAGTTGACCACTTCCAAGAATCATCATTTGTATCATTCATCTGAACACATGTTAGATCCAACATCAAAAGTGATAACTGAGATTGCTCCCACTGAAATAATTGCCACCTCCAACACCAATTCCATCCATACTCTCCCTCCCTACATACTCTCATATCCGCCATAAACATCTCTTTATTGTTAAAGATAGAAAACAACCTAGTATACCTCTCACAAAAAGGTTTTGTAGTACACCAAGAATCCCTTTAAAAAGAAGTATTCCTACCATTCCTCACTACTCTCACACACTCCTTAGAAAACCAATTACAGTAGTTGTTGCACCCTTTTCAATATTCCATAGGTCATACCACCACCTAGATACCCTTCTACGGCCACCTCTCCTATTCAAAGAAGTCATTGCCCCATAAATAGAAGTGACCACTTTAATCCACAAACAATCTCTCTCCACTAAAAAACTCCACCTCCACTTTCCTAATAAAGCTAAATTAAAAGATCTCAAATCTCTCACACCTAACCCCCGTGATGTTTTTCTTTACACACATCATCCCAAGAAACCCAAGCTATTTTCCTATGCTTATCATCCCCACCCCAAAGGAAATTTTTAAGTAAAGACTCAAGTTGAGAAATGGTATATGTAGGAGCCTTGAAAAAAAGAAAGGAAGTAGATCGGGATTGAATTTAAAACAAATTTCAATAGGACAAGTGTTCCGCCAAAAGACAAGAGTTTTCCTTTCCACTTAGTCAACCTTTTTTTCCACCTTAGAAATAACAGTTTTCCAAGTTGACAACCGATTGGTGTTGGCCCCAATAAACAAACCCAAATAAGAACACGAAAAATGGCCAACTTTGCAATTCAAAAAATTAGCCATTGGACCTAGTATCTCCAAATCAATGTTAGCTCCCAAAAGCTTACTTTTGTGAAAATTTACTTTCAACCCAGCTACTAACTCAAATAGTTGTAAAACAGATTTGGTGGCCCAAACATTTTTCCAAGAGGCCTCTCCCACAAAAATAGTAGCATTTGCATATTGTAAGAGAGATCGGAATACCATGTCGACCAAAAGAATAACCTTTATAAATTTCCATCTGAATTGCTTTAGTCATCAAAGAATTCAAACCCTCCACAACAAGTAGAAATAAAAAAGTGCTAAAGGATCTCCTTGTCGTAACCCCCTACCAACCCCAAATTCACTAGAGGGACTACCATTAACAGAAACCCAAGCACTAGATAAACATTATGTTATCCACCTCCTCCATTTACAAGGGAATATCATCCACTCCATCACAAACTGAAGAAAATCCCAACTAACAGAATCATACACCTTCTCAAAGTCAATCTTGAAAGATAAACATGCTTGTGTTTTCCTCTTTGTAAAGAGAGATTTATAATTGATTCCCTTTCTTTTCTATCAATAAATATATGGTTGATTTAAATGATAAACTTAAATATGTTTTTCTATCATGGTTGTGCGATTTTAGTTTTTAAAATTTTAATAGAATAATTTTAATTTTTTAAGTATTTAATTATGCAACTTTGGTTTCTCAAATTTTAATTAAGCAATTTTGGTCCTCAAATATTATAATTGTATAATTTTAGCCATTCAATTATTAAACTTATATAATTTTTTACCTATTTAAATTACATATGTTATTAATTTTAGTAATAATAAATATATATCTTTAATACATGAATGAAAATTATAGTGTATGAAATTTAAGTAGGTCAAATTGTATAAATGTGATACATGACCAAAATTTAGATGACTAAAATTATTCGATTAGAACATTGAAAATCAAAATTACACAATTGTGATACTTGAAGGATTAAAAAAATATAATTAAGATAAAAATTAATTATGAGAAATATTTTTGGGCTGAATTGGGTCTATACAAGCTAACTCAGGCTTCTCAAATAGATAGATAGAATAAATTTTTATTCAAAATTCAATAAATGTATTAAAAATAATTTATTAATCTATTTATAATCTATTAAAAAATTATTAATAAAAAAACCGACTTGCTCAAGATCATTTAATAAAAATCATCTATTAACTTTTTTTTAATAAAAGGTTTACATTATTGTATAGATGGAATTAAATCCATGTGTAAAATTATTTATAAAAATTAAATATTTTTGTATGATTATTTCAAAATACTCTCCCTCATTTATCCGCAATTTTTTTTAAAATTAAATATTTTTATAACTTTTTTTAATTTATCTTTATATATTAAACACAAACATTTATTGTACGTATTTTAAAAAAAAAAATTAACGAGAAGATAGAAATTTTTTTAACTTATTTATTTTGATTTTTATTTATCATAATTATTTATAAGTTAAATATTAATATTTTTAAATAATTTATTGAAACGTAGTAAGTTATTAGTAAGTTATTTCAGAAGACCCAAAAGTCCAATATGGGTGATTTAGTAGCCTAGAACAGGTCGTTCCCAATCTGGAACGGGCCGTTCCAAATTACTAAATTGACCTGTAAATCGTAGTTGAGAACGGGCCGTTCTGGATGGAGAACGGGCCGTTCTGGATGGAGAACGGGTTGTTCTGGATGAGTCCCAGAATGGGTCGTTCTGGTTTCAGAATAGGCCATTCTGCATGTGATTTTTGCACATATATGAAGGGGTGCAGAACGAGTCGTTCTGGTTTTGGAACAGGCCGTTCTGGCCACTCCTGAACTTCTATAAATAGGGGTTGTGTGGTTGAGGAGAAAATGAGGTTTTTAAAGAGAAGTTTTAGAGAGAAGGACTTTGGGTATGTGAGCTCCTTTCTCTCTCAAATTTCTCTGTATGATTCCTTTTCTCCTCTAGATCACTAATGTCTTTTGTCTTTTCTTGAAATTCAGTTTAGGAAGCTTGCTTTGGGAGGATTGAAGTTTCGGGTTGAGCTTCGAAAGAGAATTCTACTTCTTCTCAGTTATTGGCTATTTTGAGTCAATCTTCAGGTGATGGAAGCTAGAATATAGGTCGTTTAATTAAGTTGTTTGCATGTTGTTAAAATTATTAAAGTTGCATAGTTGTATAATTGAATAAGAAGTTGTCAAGCTGGTATATAATGCCTATTGTTGTATTGTTGTAAGTTGTCTATTGTTGATAGACCATGGGCCAAGGGCCCAATGACCAGAGCTATGGCTAGGAGGATACAGGAAGAGCTGGATCTTGAGAAGACTAATGGGCTTGTTAGGCCCAAGGTAATCTTCACTTGGAATGCTCTATCATGAAGAGAAGGCCTTAGTTCTACTTGTTTATATTGTACAGTTCATGCATAGTCTTTTGTATAGGTTATTTTTGCCTTTGTATTGTGAGGCACTTTATTTTCTTTTTCCTAGTGATTGTATATTGTTTTTAAGGTAGGTTACTTGGAGAGTTTAACTCCATTTAACCTCCCTAGATTTATTAACTATTTAGATATGCATATTAGTTGTCTAGGAGATGTTCTAATAATATTTATTGATCAACATTAAGTATAACTAGCGAAGAGTTATTTATTTATTCAACATGTTTTGTCCATAAGTAAATTTAGATAAAATATGGACTGCAACTAGTCTTATGCATGATGTCACTAACAAAAGACCTATTTAAATAGTGTGTTTAGTTTATTAATTCTTTTATATGATTTACTGTAGGGACGTATAAATTTGATTAAACTCATTACTCAAACTGATCAAAATATTTTGGATTGAGTTGAATGGTGCATTTTTTGTTTTTTTTATCAAACATGAATTAAAGCAACCTAATCAATGATAAGTTGAGTCCATCAAATCTAATAAAACTTAAATATTGTTTTTAATTTTTCAAAAATTACAAATAATAACAATTAAATAAATGAATTAAAATTTATTTAAATACTTATTTAAAAAATATCACATCAATGAGTTAAGTTATCAAATTTGTTAATTTAAACGTAAAACTTATTATTAGAATCAAAAGTCATTCAATTTAAACAATAATAATACCAACATCCAAACAAAAATATTTGGGTCTAGTTGGGTCGAATTAACGAGTTATCAGAACCTCTAAACACCTTTGGTTAATTGGCCAAATAGTGATTGAAACAACTAATGTGCCACGAAGTTTCGTCAAGACGTAATGGTCTCGAGGGGCACAACAACTTGAAATTTTTTTCTCTGCTTGTTTTAAGGTGTTAAAATAAGCCGATAGTGGTGCTTTCATTGCAATAGCATGAGTAGGTGCCACTTTAATATCAATTAAATAAAAGATAAAACATCCACCGAAGAAAACTTCCATACTAAAATAACAAAAACAATGTCAAATAAAATATGTCCAGAACAGTCAAAATAGTTGCACTTTGATGGACAACTTTACTTTATCTTCAAAAAAAAATATTTTTGGAAATCTGATGAAAATAATCCAAAGTTGGAGTTCAGGCTTGGATAGTTTAAGGAAAGACCCAACCAATCCAGCAGAGGTTGGCTTAGTGGGAGAATTAAGTAGTTTATACAAAGTCTTAGGTTATAAGTTCAGTGTCACCATTGTACAATAAGAAAATAAATAATAAAGACCCAACCCACTCACGTCCTAAAACTAATATTTTCTTTTCTTTTCTTATCATTAAAGCATGACACTATTCTACTCCCAAACAGCTTAGAACAATCAAATTGCGCGTGTATATGATCGATCATAAAGCAAATAAGCAATGGGAAGGCATGTTCCAATGTCAATTTTCACATGTTCTAGTCTCTTTATTGCATTTAAGCAAGTGTGTTTACAAAGATAACATTGCAGGCACACTACAACGTCGTACCCCCACCATCAGACATTAGAGCTGCAGCAGCTGCAGCAGCAGTAGGAACAACACCGGTTGAAACGCCTGGTTTGGACAGGTGGAGAAGCCTGGGAATTTCACACCAAACAGTCACATATACCAATGATCTATGTCAAGGAAAATAATAAGAGGTGATAACTGTTAACTAAAGGTGTTTAGATAAACTTTTCCAGAAGTACTTCTAAGAAATAAAAATTAAAAAGAAAAAATAAAATAAATTTTTCCATAAATTAAAGTTTGTACATAAGTTAATATGTAGAAATTATCTCATATAACTTTTCTAAAATCTTATTTTTAACTCATACATGGATTACTTTTAACTTATAGAGAAGTTTATTTTGATTTTCTTTTTAATATTTTTCTCTCTTATAAGTGATTTTGAGGAAGCTTATCCAAATAAACCTTAATTCTAATATGACAGTAAGACCTTAAACAATCATGACTGAGTGATATAAAACAAGCATGAAGGAAAATTAACAAAACAGTAACACCTCCCAATTACTAGCAATATATTAAGATTCCTCCAGTGCAAAGATTTGTATAAAAGATTCTTAATATGCAATTGAGAAAGAAAAAAGATACTTACGGTGCAAGGTATTCACAAAAGGATGACATAGCAGTAGCAACTTCAGTATAGTTTTCAGAAGTTGCGGGTGCTATTACTTCAACCATCTGTATACCAAGTGTTACTGGCACGGCCTCATCAGTTGCGTGCAGCTTCAGCATTTTATTGATTGATGCAACCGTCACAGTGATTTGTGCACCCCTGTAGAAATTGAAGGAAAATCCCACTCTCAGCAGCTCATGGTCAAACTTGTACCCCAGTGCATAAAACAAGCGAAGTGCATTCTTGCTTGTTTTGCTTTCCACCATTGACCTAACTAGAACAGAAACTTGCTCTGCACCTGCACCCCTCATTGCACCACCTACATGTCTAACACTCCTGAACAAATCATCAAGCACATTAAATGTGTATATGGTTGCGGGAAAAATTTCTAACAAGTGATTAACAGTAAAGTTGCAATTGATTTACCATGAAGGTTCAGATTGCTCTAGATCACACAAGAGTCGAACCTCTGAGGCTACAGTACCTATAGAAAAAGTCCATATAATCATGATTAATTGGAGAAAGGTTAAAATGATATACTTTTAGAAAACAAAAATTTACACCAAAAAATTCAAAAACTAGACAAAAATGTTGAGGGAATCGTTAGATTTGAAAATATTTCTTCTCTATGTTGAAGATGCAACACAGAATAAACCTCATCTTGGACAAACATAAATTTCTTCGGAGAACAGAAACAATAAAACGAAACCATGAGATGTAATCTGAAAGCCAATACAAAAGAGCATAATAGGTCGTAAAAGGAGCATGAAGCATGCCATTTGTACGATAGTCCACAGGAAATGCTAAAGACTACACTTGATGGACATTTGAGGAACAAAATAACACAGCTCAAGGAGCCAAGTCACATCAAAATGTTTTGTTTTGTTTACTGTTTGGTGGTCAATGCATAGCATAAAATTACTTCCATAACAACAAAAATGGAAATATTGTTGGCCACAAAATAGCAAAATATTCAAATAAAACACTCACCCAGATGTGGACCACTCTTAAGGCATATTTCATGTATCCTCAATCGTTCTCTCTGAACACCACATAGTCCTTGAAGAAGAATCTCTAGAGCCTCAACATGCTGCAAAAGATAACAAAACATTAATTGCCATGGTTGTCTCACACAGCCTTTCCACAGAAAGTTTCCTTCTGAAAAAATGTAATACTAACATAACATATCTTGATTATCTTAACACAATTGAGTTGTGTTGTATGTTGCTGAGTAGTGTTGTGTTGTAAGTCGATATGTTGAGCTATATTAGTTGTATATTGTTGTAAGTTGATATGTTGATTTGTACAGTTGTGTTGAACTGTGTGTTGATATTGGATGATGTAGGCCGAAAGGCTGAGTTGTTGTAGGCCGAAAGGCTGAGTTGTTGTAGGTCGAAAGGCTGAGTTGATGTAGCCCGTAAGGCTGAGTTGTTGTAAGAGATCTTCGAGTTGATATGTGTGACGACGCATTGTATGCTTATTGATGATCATGTTGAAAAACCGACGGGATGTATGTTTATGAAGTGTTGATAGTTGTAGTTGTTTATATTACTTAAATCTTTCTACATGTTGTTTCTTTTTATGCTAGCTTACCCTTTTGTTGTTTCCATGTGGTTGGACTGCAATGATCATACTATGTATGGGAGCAGAGCAGGGATAGGTGGTGGATAGTGGTGAGTCTGTAGCTGGTAGACGGAGCTGACTCCTATGGATGTTTTGTTTTGTTTTGTTACAGCTACTTGGTATAGTGGCTTTGGATGTATTTTGTATTCTACACTCTAACTCTAGTAGGATGTAGGACATTGTATATATTTATATTCTAGACACTATATTTATATACTCGTTCTATTCTGTCTCGAGTTTCTGGTGTACTGTGATTTGTGAGTGTAGTGGCCTGCCGGGTCGTTACACTTTAGTGGTATTAGAGCAGGTCGAGTCTAATAGACACTCTTTGGGGGTGGTCCCTTTAGGCTTTTGTTGTGTTAACTCTGGGTTGTGCTGTCTTGTTGTGTTGTTTGCTGTGTGTATTGATGTGATGAATTTCTGTGTTGTTAATTGTTGATTTGTTGAGTGGTAGTATACTAAAGATGTTGTTATTTTTGTAGACGATGACTAGAACCAACGAACAAATAGCTCGTGCCATAGAGATGATGGCTATGGCTATGCAACAACAAAATGCTTATTTTGCTCGGATGGAAGCTGAGAGAGCTGCAGCTGGTGCAGCAAGGCCCACGGGGTCACAGGAAAGTCGGGACCTAGCTGAGTTCCGGAAATGTCATCCTCCACAGTTTGCGGGGGATGCAGATCCAGAGGCAGCTGACCGCTAGATATGTGAGTTGGAGAAGATTTTTGCTGTTCTGGGATGTACTCCAGAGAAGAGGTTGCCATATGCTGTGTATATGCTTGTGGGAGAGGCCGAACATTGGTGGAGGGGCACTTATCAGATGCTTGTGGCGAGAGGAATTACAGTTGACCGGGAGTGCTTTAGGACAGTGTTCATGGAAAAATATTTCCCGGAGAGCGTGAGGCACGCCAAGGAGGCGGAGTTCATGCGATTACACCAGGGAGGGCTATCCGTATCAGAGTATGCGATGAGGTTCAAGCATTTGGCTCGTTTTTATTCACAGGCTATTTCTGAAGCCTGGAAGTGCAGAAAATTTGCTGAGGGGCTGAAGTATGAGTTGAAGAAGGTGGTGGTGTGTATGGCCATCACCGAGTTTCCGGCCTTGGTAGAGAAGGCGAAGATTGTGGAGAGGTTAGAAGGGAGTAACCGTGTGATCAGAGCTACTGAGGGACCGGCTGGGTCCAAGAGAGGAAGTGGAAGTCAGGGGAAGCCGTATGATAGGCCCCAGCCACAGCAAAGGGGTCCTGTCATTAGGCAACCTGCTGAGACTACCAAAGGAGGAGGACAGGGTGGAAGTGCTGCCCTTAGGTGTTACAGGTGTGGTGGATCCCATTTGATCAGGGATTGTCCACACACTGAGAGCAGGGGGTTCAGATGTCAGCAGAGGGGCCATGTGTCTTTCAACTGTCCCACCAGGAGTCGACCGGAGAGGAGAACTCAGAGGAGCGATGCGCAGAGCGCTGATACTCAGAGGAGTAGTGTGCAGAGGACTGAGACTCAGAGGGGTGATAGACCCACTACAGCTGGTAGGATGTTCGCTTTGACGGGTGCTGAGGCTTCAACTTCTTCTGACCTAGTGAAGGGGAAGGGCAAGGTTGCTGGTAAGGATGTGATGCTTTTGTTTGATTCTGGGGCTTCCCATTCTTTTATTTCCTATGCCTGTGTTGCTATGTTGGGAGTGCCTGTGTGTGATTTGGGGTTGAAACTACTAGTGTCGACGCTTGCTTCTACTTCAGTAGTCGCTTGTGAATTGTGTGCTAACTGTCCTATTGTTGTGAATGGGAAGAAGTATAAGGTAAACTTGATTTGTTTGCCTTTGGTTGATATTGACATAATCTTAGGGATGGATTGGTTATCTGCCAATCGTATTCTTATAGATTGTGCCAATAGACAGTCGATCTTTCCACAGGAGGAAGATGAGTTATTGATTTCAGATGGTCAAGCTGAATCATGGTTGAGAGATGGAGCAGAGTGTTGTATCCTGCTTGCTATGATGAGTGTGGAGACTGAGAGAGTCATTTCTGAGATAGATGTGGTGAGAGACATTGCTGAAGTATTTCCTAATGAGGTGCCTGGGTTGCCTCCTGTAAGGGAGATGGAGTTTGGCATTGAGTTGGTTCCAGGTGCGGGGCCAGTGTCGGTGGCTCCCTACAGGATGGCTCCTACCGAGCTGATTGAGTTGAAGGGTCAGTTGGAGGACCTATTGGAGAAGCAGTTGGTGCGACCGAGTGTTTCACCGTGGGGTGCTCCTATGCTGTTGGTGAAGAAGAAGGATGGGGGTAGTCGTCTTTGTGTAGATTACCGGCAGTTGAATAAGGTGACCATTAAGAACAAATATCCTCTTCCCCGGATAGATGACTTGATGGATCAGCTGAGGGGAGCATCGGTGTTTTCTAAGATCGATTTGAGGTCGGGCTACCACCAGATAAGGGTGAAGGAGGGTGACATACCGAAGACTGCTTTCAGGACTAGGTATGGTCACTATGAGTATGTTGTGATGCCGTTTGGTGTGACCAACGCCCCTGCAGTGTTCATGGATTACATGAACAGGATCTTCCGGCCGTTCTTGGATAAGTTCGTGGTGGTGCTCATTGATGATATCTTGATTTATTCAAGAACCCGGGAAGAGCATGGAGAGCACTTGAAGATGGTATTGGAGATTTTGAAGGCGAAGCAGCTATATGCTAAGCTTTCAAAATGTGAGTTCTGGTTGGATGAAGTGAGGTTCTTGGGCCACGTGATTTCAGCTGAAGGGATTGTTGTTGATCCGGCTAAGGTGGAGTCGGTGTTGCAGTGGGAGCGTCCGAGGACTGTCACTGATATTCGGAGCTTTGTGGGATTGGCGGGCTACTATCGTCGGTTCATTGAAGGATTCTCTAAAATAGTAGCGCCTCTAACCCAGTTGACTAGGAAGAAGCAGCCGTTCATTTGGACAGATGCCTGTGAGCGGAGTTTTGAGGAGTTGAAGAGAAGGTTGACTACTTCTCCTGTGTTGCTGTTGCCGGATTCTGGTGAGCCCTTTGATGTGTATTGTGATGCTTCTCACCAGGGTCTTCGGTGTGTACTGATGCAACACGGGAAAGTGGTGGCCTATGCTTCAAGGCAACTGACTAACCATGAGAGGAATTATCCCACTCATGACTTGGAGCTGGTCGCTGTTGTTTTTGCCTTGAATATATGGCGACACTATTTTTATGGTGCTCGGTTCAGCGTCTTTAGTGATCATAAGAGTCTGAAGTATCTGTTTGACCAGAAGGAGCTGAACATGAGGCAGAGACGGTGGATGGAGTTTTTGAAGGACTATGACTTCCAGTTGATGTATCATCTTGGCAAGGTCAATGTTGTGGCGGACGCGTTGAGTAGGAAATCCATCCACATGTCAAGTATGATGGTGAGGGAGTTGGAACTGCTTGAGAAATTCCGAGATTTGACCCTCGGTGTGGAGTTAGCTCAGGATCACATTAGTTGTGGGACAGTCACCATAACTAATGAGTTCTTGAGGCAGGTTGGACTTAAGCAATTACAAGATGCTGAGCTGGTTAAGCTCCTTGGTTTGCTGGGTACCGAGAAGGCTGTGGGTTTTGAGTTGGGCGGAAATGGAATCTTGAGGTTCAAGGGCAGAATTTGCCTACCTCAGGATACTGAGTTGAAGAAAGCTGTGTTGGAGGAAGGCCATAAGAGTAGACTTAGCATACATCCGGGTATGACTAAGATGTACCAGGACCTCAGGAAGACTTTCTGGTGGCCTGGCATGAAGAGAGAGATCGCTGATTATGTGGCGGCCTGTCTGACTTGTCAAAAGGCTAAGGTGGAGCATCAGAAGCCGAGTGGGTTGATGCAGCAGATGGAGATTCCGGAATGGAAGTGGGATAACATTACTATGGATTTCATTGTTGAGTTGCCTGTGTCAGCTAGGAATAGTGATGTTATCTGGGTGATTGTAGATCGGTTGACCAAGTGTGTGCATTTCTTGCCTGTCAAAATTAAGTGGTCCTTGGAGAAGCTGACACAGTTGTATGTGAGGGAGATAGTACGGCTGCATGGGGTGCCTTCCAGTATTATTTTCGACAGAGATCCAAGGTTCACTTCCAGATCTTGGTTGAGTTTTTCTGAAATGGGGTTGTTGGGTTTTGTTTGGGGTGATGAGGGAAAATTGAGGATCTTGTTATTTTGTGGTTGCATGTGTAAAAAGGTAGCATTTTTGGACTATTGGATGGGGATGTAGTATTTTGGGCCGATTGCATGTGGGTTTTCCTGGTTACTTTGCAGGTTTTGATGAGATTTTCGAAAGTTTGAGGGTTCCTGCTGGGTATCACGCCGGGCGTAGTTCTTCACGCCGGGCGCATGACCATCAGAGACTTCATTTAGGCAAGCACGCCGGGCGCAATGGTGAATGCGCCGGGCGGGCTTGAAGATGTGAGTCTCTGGATGGCCCTCGCTGGGCGTGGTGGAACCGCGCCGGGCGTGATATCAGTGGATGACTCAAGTTTTGAGGTTCTGGTGTGGCGCCGGGCTTGGCTTTGTCTCGCCGGGCGTGGAGACTCCATGGGAGTCTCTGCCAGAGGTGGTGCTAGGCGCAATATATATTGCGCCGAGCGTGAGACTTGGAGAAAGTCTCTGCATACCCTGCGCTGGGCGCGGGTTCGTACGCCGGGCGTGTGAGATCTTGTGAGGTCTCTGCCTTCCCTCACGCCGAGCGCAATAGGTATTGCGCCGAGCGTGTTGGTCCCTGGTGCTCTCTGGTTGTGTTGCGCTGGGCGTAACCACGGGTGCGCCGGGCGCGGAGATGGGATTTTACTATATGCTAAGTTGAGTTGAAGTGAATGAATATGATGGCGTGACTAGTAGATAATGAAGTTGATGATGTTGAATTTTGTTGTATGTTGACAAGTTGAGTTGTGTTGTATGTTGATGAGTTGAGTTGTGTTGTATGTTGCTGAGTAGTGTTGTGTTGTAAGTTGATATGTTGAGTTGTATTAGTTGTATATTGTTGTAAGTTGATATGTTGAGCTGTACAGTTGTGTTGAACTATGTGTTGATATTGGATGATGTAGGCCGAAAGGCTGAGTTGTTGTAGGAGATCTCCGAGTTGATATGCGTGACGACGCATTGTATGCTTATTGATGATCATGTTGAAAAACCGACGGGATGTATGTTGATGAAGTGTTGATAGTTGTAGTTGTTTATATTACTTAAATCTTTCTACATGCTGTTTCTTTTTATGCTAGCTTACCCTTTTGTTGTTTCCATGTGGTTGGACTGCAATGATCATACTATGTATGGGAGCAGAGCAGGGATAGGTGGTGGATAGTGGTGAGTCTGCAACTGGTAGACGGAGCTGACTCCTATGGATGTTTTGTTTTGTTTTGTTACAGCTACTTGGTATAGTGGCTTTGGATGTATTTTGTATTCTACACTCTAACTCTAGTCGGATGTAGGACATTGTATATATTTCTATTCTAGACACTATATTTATATACTCGTTCTATTCTGTCTCGAGTTTCCGGTGTACTGTGATTTGTGAGTGTAGTGGCATGCTGGGTCGTTACAATATTAATTTATCAATAATATTAAAATATTAATAATATATAAATTTTATTTATTTAATAATAATAAATATATATCATTCGATACATTAACAAAAATTATAATATATGTTAACTTAAATAAATAAAGAAATATAATTTTAAAACATTATATATATATATATTAAAATTATTAAATTATTAAATTTTTAATGAAGAAAACTAAAATCACATAATTACAATCTTTTAAGAATTAAAATTACTCAATTAAAATTTTAGAGATCAAAATTGTATAATTATTGAAGAATTAAAAACACAGTTAGACCTATTTTTTTTTCATTATAATCAACTAACTTTCGCATTTATGCCACGTGGAAAAGTGTACTTCCAATAGTTTTATTAAAAATTGCTAGTAATAACATAGCCTTTGATGTAACGTACATATCGTAAATTTCTTTTTCTCTCTTAGGATTTGTTTGTCAAGAAAAAAAAATGTACTAAAGGTGAAGAAAAATAGAGAAAATATAAACAAATGAGTAGGAATAGAAGATAGAGAAAATTTGATTGTTTGATTTAAAAAAAATAAAATAAAAAAATAAAAAAAGAGGGAAATAGAGAAATTAATTAATATTATTTTTTTCTAATTTATATAAGCTACAATATTTTCTAATCAATTTTAATATTTTAAGATGAGTGTAGTGTAATTTTTTTTAATTCATTTTAATATAAGAAAAATTTGTAAGTGTAATTTTTTTAATTCATGTTAAGTTAAATTCAATTAGTTTACAAATACATCCACTAAGAATCAAGTCATCTTTTAATCACGTCATAAAAAATGGCGTGTGTATCATAATAAAAATGTCTCTTGTAACGACTTGCCTGACCCTCATACTACAGAACAACACCACACAGGAGTAAAATATACATACATAAAAGAATATATACATATATTCGGCCCCGAGACTCAACAAGTCAAAGTATATCTAATACTAACAAAATGCTACACCAAGATAGCCTACACAAAAGATTAGCTCCAGGCACCCCCTGTGGCACTACTGCTACTCTCCAGCTTATCCTTGCTTTGCTCCCATACATAGTATGATCATATCAGTCCAAATCACATGAAAACACGCAAGGATAAACTAGTGAAAATAATCAACATATAGGTATAAACAACTTACAACTCAGCAATAGAAACAACATTTTCAACAGTTCAACATTCAACACATAACAACATCCAACTCATTCACATTTTCACGACATCACAATAGATATGCAACTAAATCAACACAAGATCAACACATCAACATCTTATGCATCATCACACATTTCAACTCGGAGATCTCCTACAACATGGATGAGCAGTCTAAGTGGCTAGGTCCTACAGAATCGACAATATAGAACCTTTTTGGGCTTGCTAGGTAAACAACAAATTTGGATACCAATCCACAACACGATAACAGTTTCTCAAACTTTGCCACTTAAATTAGGAAGTATAGTACTATGTTAGGATAGAACAACTGGGTTTAGGCTTACCACAGCATTAGGTAGCTTAACTAAGCCACCTATGGGATTAGCCTACCGACTATCCTCTAAATACTACAACCCTCCGATACTCGGTTAGGAACTAAGTTCCCAACTTCGTACTTTACTCAAATTTGGCCACTTGTAATCGATATAGCTCGACCTGGCTCCTATACCGTGGTTGCTTCATACACGTGTGCCTCGACCTTGCCCACACACGAGATCAACTAAGTCCTAGAGGAGAACAACACAACATCCACTCCAAGGGACAACTTCCCAAGAAGGGTTTTTCAACAAATTAGGCTCTCAGAGCACCATAACTATCTCAATCCACATAATGGGATGAGAAACTTCAAATATCTCCTCTAGTCCTAATGATCAACAGCTCAATAACTTACACAACACATAACTTTTCAACTCATCACCTCAATCAACTTTCAACTTAAACAACATAGTCAACTAACAGCTTTTAACAACACAATTTACAACACAACGACTCCTCAACAATGTTTAACAACGTGTTTTAGCAACAAAGCAACTTATTCAAATCGTACATACTACATGTCTACACAATTACACAACTATATCTTCATCATACCACAACATTCAACATTTCTTAATCATAGAATCAAACACATTCACGCCCGACGCAAGTAAATTCGCGCCCGACCTGAACCCAACTCGAGAGCCCTAAAGCTCTTTCACACCCGGTGTAATAACCTAACGCCCGGCGCACTATAAGGCAGAGACTCCCAGGAGTCTCTCATGCTCGGCGCGCCCGACTCGCGCTCGACGCAAAATCAGGCAAATACCTCACAAGGGTCTCGTGCTCGATGCACTCCTCTGCGCCTAGCATCACCCTAGGCAGAGACCCCCAAGGAGTCTCTACGCCCGGCGTGCTCCGAGCAAGTCCAGCACCATATCAGTAACCAAAAACATAAGGCAAACATCTGATATAGCGCCCGACGTGGTTCTCCCAACGCCCAGCGTGATTCATCCAGAGGCTTCCATTCCTAATCTCACCCGATGCAACCCACCTCGCGCTCGGCGTGATTGGACAATGGAGTTCCCTGATGAACGCACGCCCGACGCCAACAACTATGCCCGACGTGAACTCAAATAGCAGCCCTCACAACTTCGAAAATTTCAACCAAAAACCTGAAAATTAGCCAACTCAAACACATGCAATCCATGAAATGAAATACATTTACTTCATACAACTCAAAAACAAGCTTTATTTCAACATGCAACCATCAAACGCATCAAAATCACCCAAATTCCCAATTTTCCCGAAACCCTGAAAATGAGAAGTTCCTCAATAAATCCATGATTTCTCAACAATTCTTCCTCCAAATGAGTTCCTAAACTAACATACTACCAATAAGTTACAATCTAGCTTCCCTCACCTTGTAAAAGAAGAATCCGAGCTTCGGGGAAGAGAAAGAAGATCCATGCTTCCAACTAGCACCTCACACCTCTACTTAGCACCTTCAACAATAACAACACCACAAGGAGGCTCAAAATCTTCTATAACAAAAGAATAAGAAGTGAGGAGAAAAGAGAGTGTTGAGGGGAAGGAGGAAGAAGAAGAAGGGTCTTACATCTCCTATTAAGAATTTACATCTGGTAGAAAATATTGGAATAAAGACAATTTCATTCTCTTTTTACTGTTGGTTTTTAATTGTTGGCACTGTTAGACAGCATACCTTGTGCAAGTTCAAGGTTTCAATTGCCATTAAAATAATTGATTAAAATAAAAAATAATTCATAAAAATTCATTTTAAAAATATTTTATTTTTTATTTTATTTTATTTTTATATTTTATTTATTTATTTCTCTCATACCTTTTTAATATACCTTATTTCTCATCTATTTCTTTTTATCTAACAAAAT